TTTCAGTGCTACACTTTCCTGATTTACTAGCATTGGTAACATCTTGGATAAATATTCTGCATTCCAGCTGGGATCTTCAGACATTTGTTTTCTGACTTTAGTGCGATGGGCAAAGTTGTCTGTGGAGACACACACTTTGGGAGTTATATTATGAGTGTATATCTTTATATACATGGACCATACTATATGATAAATATGTATTAGTTGTGGTCTATGCATGCTTATTTTGTAACTACCAAATTTTGTGTACTAATTTAGCCAGTGTAATTTCACTATTCTTGACATTGCCCAATCAACAATCTGCACTAGATTAATTACTCTCAAAAACGACATGTAATTGACCAATCAACAATCTGTACTTGACTAATTACTCTCTGAAATAGACACGTCATTGTCCAATCAACAATCAGTACAAGATGTTTATGACATAGAGCAATGTTTTCTTTAAAGATCATCATCATTTTATAACTAATATGATCAACTGTACCGTATTCCCAGATGTGAACTGCTTCATTCAAACCCCCAATGTCAGCCATCCAATAACCAATGCCTTTTGAATGGTTGAATCGTAGGTTTATCTTATCTATTGATAGCTTCATGAAGTCCTGCAACTTAGCGGGCTGTATCTTGTATGTGCGAAGCTCATACCACTTATTGGAAAAACCATTATCTTCAGTGGTAAAGCACCTCGACACAGTCTGGGAGGATGCCCAAACCTACAGTAATTAACAGTTTGTTTTTAGTCCAGGATTGACTTATAATTCAATCTCCGTCTGTCAATCAGTCCAGGGTTGTATTTCAGAACCTTCTGGACCAAATCCATTTATTCTTTGCATGTGCCTAGTACTTTATGTGGGAGATATGCATGTCTAGTGGTTTAGTGATTCGATCCAATATGGACAACTGGCAGTTTTTTTGAAAATGCGGTATCTTATGCATGCTTTGTCATTTCCATTCAAATTTGGTACATACATTATACAGGTTAGAATACATATCCATGACAATTTGTTTTATAATTAGGTCAAAGATGGCTGACTGATGGCCATCTTGCTTTTTGATCATACTACTACATCTCCAATACTTATAGACCATTTTCATTCATATTTGGCACATACATGTTTCATAATCAGATTAAAGATGGTCAACTGACAGTGATTTCTGTTTCATGGCAGTAAATCAGCCAATGATTGAATACATCCCACAAAGACTTGTGGGTCGTCACAGGCATTACCAAATTGTTATACTACAGCCCATGAAAGCCTGAATTTGAATGAAGCTAGAAAAGTACTCATAAAAACACTGCAAAACAAAAGCATTATTTGTACTGTAGGTAACCATGCAACATCAGAAATTGCAGTTATGGTAGCTGGTAATATCATTCTTCACGCCACCCATCAAAAAAAGTGTACACCTCTAGTATAAAAACAGTTTGATCAGAAAATGGTCATTTTAAAATTTGAAATGGAACCAGTAGCAGACATATTAATTTCAAACACTAACACAATTTAACTTAAAACCTAGTACTTAGATAAAATCTCAATCTCAGTGACCTTTGCTCGTTTGATGCCAATTTTTGCAGTGTGTACATCCATAATGGCAATGTGTAAACTCACCGTTCTCATTGGTCTGTGTAGATATCTACATGTAGACATTGCCATGTTTATATGCAGATGCTGGTTTTGATGCTACAGCAGTCAATAATATACCAGCCACATCTATAGCCAGTTTGTGACATGCATACAGTCAACTTTGACCCCATCCACTATATGACCTACAATGACCCTTAGATGCTTTAAAAATGTAATGGGGTCAATAGTTTTTTATTTATACAATTCAGCAAACTCCCTGTATTCATAAAGCTACCGTTTACAGAGTTTGTATACATTGTGTAATTTTATATTTGCAATGTGAATCATGTATATATAATGTACCATAGTATAAATGTACCAGCAAAGAGCCTTGACCTTGACAGAAAATAGTTCCAGTGAACAAATTAATATATATTGTTAAAGAAACTACAATTGTATTTACAACTGCAAACTGAGTTTTATGGTAGTTTGTTTCACAGACTGATATGTATGGCATAAAACAATGTTGATACATTTCTTGATTTGAACACATGGTGGCGATATACATATATCAGATGCTGTGGTAGGCTCATGAGATGTCTGTTGCACTTCGTGGCAATAAAAGTCTGCAGATACTGCAGTCTGTTTTGCATTTGTAAAACTTTGGGATTGACCACTAAAAACTCAGGAGATGTTGAATGGAACAAATCTATATGGAAAACTTTTTTGAAAAATTAGAGACAAGAATTTATAGCAAAATTATGTATGTTTATGGCCATTATGACATTGCTTTGCTTGTTGTTCTGTTACCGTATCATATATGCATATCCACTTCAAAGTTACACTCCGATCATTCCTGAAGCTGTAGTGGGGTCTTGGGACTATTATGGGATGGGTTAAATTAGTGCAGTTTGCAAGAGATAAACAGCACATCTGAATGTTGAAAAGCATTTGAGTGAATTGACACTGTACAGCATCTAATCTTTGAGAACGTGTCGTCTGTCAGTGTGATGATGCATGCCATCATGAATGTATGTACCGCAAGCCAAGGTATTTATTTACATGGATGAATGGATGAAGATCAGTTTTATGATGCCAATCATGAGGCTGAAAGCGGCCTTAATCTTCAACACTTTGACCATAGAGAGTGCATTCAGCAGATGAACATGTATATTTTCAAAACAAAGTTTCAAAGAAAAATTCATTGAAGAAATCAACAACTTGGCTTGTGCATGAGATAATATTATTCCCTATTTTTCTTCTTCAGCTGGGGAAATGCAAGTGACATAAAAGCCATAATCAATACAAGTCAAAGGAAATATATAAATACGTCTATTCCCACATATTCAGAGAATCAACCATGTCATATAAAAGTCCCAACAAATCTACAGCAATGATAAAAGTGCAACTTTTAATACACACTGAAAAATCACAATACACTTAAAATGCATTTTATCTCCACCTCAAGTAGAAATTTTATTATTAAAATACCTATACACATGATTGGGTATGGGTGTGAAATTACACTTTCTTTGACAATTTTATTAATTAGGCTGCTGTAATTGAAACAAAAAAAAGATTACAACATTCATTGAATTCACTATGTGCACTACTCAAATTATTCCTATAATAAAAGATATATGGTTACTGACAATGATATATAGCACAAACTGGAGAAGACATCTCGAACAATACATCACACATAAAAATGTTTGCAAACTAATATTATTTTCTAAAAACCTATCCATTATGTAAAACTGTTTTATCAAAACTGTCATTGCACATAGTATTATAAAATTTGGCTGAGAATTAAAAATGGATATGATTTGATTTATCTTAAATACCTAATTAAACATAAGTGGCATCATAATAATTTGGACAAAAATCGATGGAGGGATCAACCAATGAAATACCTGTTAAATTCAGGGACAGGACACTTGTAAATATTAAGGTGTGTGAAGAGGAAATATTAACCATAATCTTGTCTTTTAAACTGACTTGACCACATAAGCGTTAAATCAAATGGATTAAAAAGTGTGATTTACAAAAGAAACCTGGAAGTGCTTTATGAATTGTTACCAGCTTTTGTTGAGGGTTCAGGTGATAATGCACAGTAACATTATATAGAATCATTATACACAATTGCATTCAAATTTTATAACTCATGAAGGTCTGCAATTACAAGTCCCAGAACTCAAATGACAGTGCAACTGGCTATAAGTGAAAAGATTCATATGCTTTTCATTGCATTGGTTAGAGCAAGAATTATCTCCTATTCCTGTTTGACAGCCCACTTCATATCATCTGATCTTGGTTTGGCTCCAGTGCTTTTTTCAATGAGATATTCAAATCCTCTCCAGAAGGAGATTGCTTCAAGTGGATAATTCAACCAACCTGTGGTGATACAGTAGTAACTCTCATGTGGAGACACATGGTGAATGCGGTGATGTTGACGTGGAAGAATAAGATTCCAATCCTGTAAAAATGTTACCCACTTAGGAAGACCAAAATATGTGTGAGACCATTTATGGAACTGATTTGTCAAAGTGACGAAAAATACTAGAGCCATCAAAAAACAATCATAGTTGTAGTTTTCCTGAATCTGTTCTGGGTTCTGAGTCATATACTTGTATGCCAACCATATCAATCCAGGTAGTGTAGCCATACAGTTGTCACCATTCACTTCAATGACATCATGTCGTGTGATAGACGTCGGGTCAATGTGATGTTCCCGGAATGGACGAATAAAACTCTGATGGAAGAAAGTGTTCAAATAAATTAAATTAATTTTATAGAAAATGTAATCAAAAACACAGTGCAACTAATACAAGCTTGATTGCATTTGTAAGCTTGTATGTCAAATACATAGCCTATGCCTATAAAGAGTACACACAAATCTACCATCTTAATTAGAAGCAAATAGAAACCCTGAATCATGCACATTTGCTGTATAACGAGTCTTTGATATATTATCTTTTTTGAAAGTAGGAATACTTCTGTAATTTACACATGGAGCAAATATGGTACATAATTATCAAATATGACAGAAATTAAACCCTGAGGTGAGATGACAAAACAGCACAAAATTCAGCTTATAAAAAGTAATGGTTTAAAAAACATTATTAAAACAAATTTTGCTTATGGATTAGCATCAAACACTATTCTATGTTTCAGAACAAAAAAACAGGTTCTTGCCAACCAGTCGCTGTATTCATGTGTTCTATTGGAAGCAAACACAGATCTTCATAAAGTCCACTTTATAACTTTATGTTATTGTTATGCTTCTTCACATGTCCAGCTATAACTTCCATAAAATGTTGTCTATTTGTAAATGTAGCATATACTTTGCATAAAATCATGTCTATGCATATTAAAAAGCTTTGAGTCGAATTACAAATTACATGTCATGTTTGCAATACCGGTACTTTCATTACTATGGGATTAAATGATAGAATTCAAGGAATGCAAAAAAAGTTGAATAACTGAACAATTTTTCAGATACAGAAGTCCAAAATTTCATTGAAAATTGTGAAAATTAAATTTTATACACTGGTTTCTATAATGGGATTATTTCTTCAATTTTTAAAATGAAAATAGATTCACATTATATACAATGTGAAGTTCTCTCCCATAATGCATTGCACACATGTGCAGTAACATGCATAGTAGTACAACATTTGAAATCGACTCAAACTGTCTTGATAGCAATACATGACGACCCCCCCCCACACACACACACACACTCTGACTTGAGGTCCACCCAAGTTACATATATATGAATAATAATCATAATAATAACTGTTATTGTATGTACATCCAATCTTTGATTAATTGAAAGGTGGTGGTAAGGGTGAGTGAATTACAATGCAAGTTACTTACTGCTCCAAATATTGGCATTTCTACCGAGCCCCACGTGTCGGCTCCCCAGTGAACTAGACCAGATGCAAAGTCTGCTACTATAATACCAAAAACTGAAATCAAAACAGTCATTGTAATACCACAAGTTAATAAAACTTAAAAAGGAAATTTGAATACAGGTAACACAATATAGGTACACCAGCATACTTGCTGCATAATATACACATACTGCTTATAACTGAATATTTTCAGTAAATCAAAACATCTATTTTTATATAAATTGCTGGTGGCTTAAGCCACAGTTTTTGTTTTTTGCTGAAAACAGGCAAAATATCGCGAGTCAGAAATTTATTTTCCTTGTCAATATGGAAGATGACAAACTAAGTTTCGCCAAAGTTGCCAGCACTAGTTATGTTGCCGAAATAGGATGCTATCCAAGGGTTTTTCTATGCATGTCAGTGCTATTGTTTAACCCATGTCACATGACCTAGTGTAAATATCATGTGATAGTACACATGCTCAAACAATAGGAATAGGTAGATATCACAGTTGATATACATGATATGAGGTTATCACCTGATATCTGTTCATAGAGCTAGATGATACAAGAGTCAAAAGTCAAAATGACAGAAATCGTGATTTTACAAAACTATACTTACAAATCATATGCTAATTTATGCTAATTAAAAACGTCATCCAAGTGTGTTGGTGAACCTGCATTTGCAGTTAAAACAATTGATGGTTTTCGAAATCAGCAGAAATATTACCATTCTTAGTGAGATTTATTTTTAAATAACCTTCTGTCATCATTATTCTGATTTATAATCATCGCACCATGTGAATAATTCTTGTTATTCTGTCTGAAATTCTTATATCGTAGCGAGAAAAATGGTACATAGCACTATTTGATATTTCACACTAAAAATCTCTACTGTAAACAATTGATATTCTACATTTAAATTCACAAACAATGATACTTTGACACTGAATGTACAACCATGTGAAACCTGAACTATTTTTAGCAGTCTATATTTAGACAATAGTGACTAAATGCAAATCAAAAGAACCAAATTATATGATAGATGTCATCTCTATTAATCATTTCAACTTGGTTATAAAACATTTTCACACATTTTATTTATTTTTATTTCACAAAATTTCACTCTTGTGATGTTTATCTAATAGTCATATAAGGCGGCCAATAAAGTGATTGCAAACCCATTACTACAATGTACAAACTAAAATATTATAAAGATACTGGTATGCTTACCTATAGATGGTAATATTGTCATTATCTTGCTAGACTGGAAATGATAAACCATTTGGAATAAGTCGTAGGCAATAAGAACAAGATAGATTGCAACACAAATTAGTTCCTGGACTCTTTTACCTAACAGTGGGGGAAAAAATATCAGTACATTAACATTATTAATTTATTTGTATGAATTAAGATTATGTGTCCATTATTTGCAACATTGCATTTATTATTTTTCATATAATTTTGAACATGAATTACTATACAATCTCTATACTTAGACTTGCTTACAAACATTTTTTTAAAAAATGCATTAAAAATAGTTAAACAATGAAAACAAGTGTCAACTACTGCAGTCTCTGTTGCATGGGAGTCCCATGGAACACAATGACTGGTGCTTTAACTGTTAATTGATTTCTGAAATGAAGTTTTCAAAATTAATAGTATTAGCACAACAATGTATCAATTAAAATACACCTCAATCATTGTATACATTGAATGGGACCTATAACAACAAAATGTAGTGACGACCGTGACACTTTGACACTCTGTGTGCTATAATCAACTTTAGGTGCCATCCACAAAATACTTCTATTTTTAGCTCTTTTCCACATAAAATGTTGTGAAATTTTCAAATTTAAAATCTATAAGTAATGTCACAATAAGTGAAAATTACAGAAAATATGAACAAATTTACCCCAATTTGAGCAGGAAATTAAAATTGGCATTTAAGAAATTAAAAGTAACTACCGTAATATGAATAAAGTTTTACACAATATATATGAAGGATGACAATATAGCTTTGAAAAATTGTAGGTTCACTTCTGATCACAAATCGTAATAATTAATGAATGAATGAATAAATATATTACTAATTAATGCAGTGTTTGAAATTACTGTCGCCTGTACACAAGATGTGGTTAGCTTTCCAATCAGACTGATAAAAAATTAAAACTTACATGCCCAGCGGTCTAGTAACAATATTTACATGCATTTGAAATTTTGAAAATGCAATTTTATTAAATAATATTATCGGTTGAAGTTGAATGGCATTCCGCTATGAAGACTGATATAAAGATTGTTGAATAAAATATGCAACAACTTGAAATGGGACATTTTAATTATATATCAGACTTCACACATGGAAGTGATGACCAAAGAGACACTGAAATCATTCTGACCGTTGTGATCATGTCTACATCAGTTACTGAGTGGTGTGCTTACTTCGAATAGGAACGAATGAAAATAATCTGTAATGCAGGGCTGGTGAAAATTGAAAGTTACCTGCCCTGGTCGACAATTTGGAGAAATTTCAAACACTGATTATTATGAATAAAGTCATCAAGTTCAATACCTAATTTGCATTTTGACAGTACAATATGCAACACGATACAACGCGATATATAATTAACAGACTAGAAATAAAATGTTGATGTTATTGTAAACATTGATTATAACAAGGTACCCAGCGGCTCGGTCGTCAACTTGCTTGGTTCGTCGTTTCTTTTACCACCGTTGGGTGATGGCGTTCACTACCGACGCTTAAAAACATGGAGCTAAAAACGACCTAAGAAGCAAGATGGCGATCAAATTCCTGTGATTAACAACGAGTACGACACTCATGAACTATAACTAACTAAGAATCATTTAAAAGTGTTGCCGACGTGACGTATGCCTTGTAGACTTATACTGCGGGCAATAGGACAAAGTACCCGTAAACGTGCGATCCATAGCTACGAAGCCACTCCTAGTGTCATTCGTGAAGGGGATTAACAAACAACATTGTCAAACCTACCGGTAGAATAAAGATTTTTCAGTTCCTTCGCCCCAGCATGATTAGGTCCCCATCTGGCCTTGTTTGTCGCGCCACAGCCGTCTACATTTGCGTTTGGATCGTCCTCCGACATGCAGTCAGTCACTTTTTTTGCAACCGGCTTCGCCATTTCGCTATGTCTGTCGGTCATGCAATGTAAAATGTCTATAAAATCACCTGACCGAGTTTCTGTGACATGCGCAAACAAGCACACATACAACGTCATGCATCAAATCATTACATATTAACACAGCAGTTTTATTTTTGTTATAAACACACAATGACACATCGGGGAATCTGAAAGAGCACATACTACCATTTGACAGTCAGAAGTAGTGCTGATCTGGGCTCCAGATGCGCAACATTACTGAACATTACCCCAAGTGCTACAAAAATACATTGTGTACATGAGTACACTATACATGTATTCGTTTCGCTCACTTCGGGGACTGTTTTCCGTAGGATTATGTTCATTCACATAATTTTCGTGAACAAATAATCTATTTTGTATATGTTATGTTTGTCATTTCACTCTCTTGGAAAATTGCATTAATTATTGCTATGTAATAACAACAAAACATGAAACATGAGTTGTTATGCCGAAATTGTGTTAATTCTCGCGCTAAAGATAATTGTTTTGTCCGACGTGAAACTATTTCTTGACAGAAGTTGTGTATATTCATACTTGAATTGAAGATGTAATATGCACGAAAACAAATATATTTTTAAATTGTTGTTCAACCATCTAAATCAGAGTATGAATCACCAGTCAATGAAAATGTTGCGTTTGTAGAACAAGTAACAACACTCATTAGAAATCAAAACCACTAATGCGTATGTGCATTATGTTGTAAGTACGAAAGCGTATTGGAGAATGTGATTGTTTCGTTGAGAGAATATTCAGATGTGTGCTACAAGAACAGTGTTTCCATTTCATTATAAATGATAGTCGTATGTGTTTATCAATATACCAAAATTGGAATTCATCTTCTGATACTAAACTCCAAATCTTCTTACATACAGTTTGCCATTACTCACGAAACAAACATTATTCTATTGACAGTGTCTAGAGGCATATGCCTCCCAATCTCGATAGCTAACGGGTGATTTGAGCAACCAAATCTTGCTAATGCCACTATCAGATGATGTGTTTCGATCGGTAGAATAAAGATACTTTCCTGTTTCTAACGATACTGTTTTGTGTTAGTATAATAAACCTCGTTTACTTCCTCAAGTCACTGTTATCTCGCCTCCGTTATCTCACACGGTCTTGAATTGATTGTTGAATCAGTTAATTGGTAGCAATATGTTAGTCTTTGCCCAAAATATTTAATCAATCAATATACAGTATCAAAAAACAATATTAAAAAATAAAATTCAAAAATACAAGCTCTCGTCCATATTGCATATCAAAACAAAATATTATTTCTAATTTTAATATAACAATTAAAAAAAATAATAATAAATAGTATTGATTGAGTTATTTGTATTTTAACCATGTATTTACTGTGACACCAAACAATACTTTGGTCGCAGAGAATATCTACAACGTAACAAACTAAATACTAGTACATGTAGTAAGTTTTATTGCCGGCCCGGGAAGCAGCCAAGGCCACGGGAAGCAGACCTAAAGACAGATGAATGTCATAGATGGTAATTTTAGCAAAATATTTTAGCCATACAGTGCTAGCAAATCAGGTACAGGTAATCTCGTATATACAACTTGACCTACAATCTGTTTCCGGTCCATCTTATTTAACTCTGACCACCTGTAATAGCTATACTATTATTATGTTTCGTTATGACAAATAGTAAACTAGTATGTGTTTATCATACACCTGAGACAGTTTGCACCTATTAAACAGCAATAAACGGAATTGGTGTTTTGTGATAGAGAGCGTGTCGGTAAGTGATTTGATAATATAAGACACTTTTTGAAGAAAAAAAAAAAACACGCAAAGCAGAACTACTAGTATGTAAAGTTAATATTTTGTGTATATTATTACATTAGAACCGAGTCAGTGGACAGTTTTCTAAGGTATAAACATCCAAATTAATCATTTATGATTGTAAAATGCCTATAAAATTATTAAATTTAAAATTCTTGTATACTATCAGAGGTACATTACTTGGGGTTTGCAACTCGCATAGTACTGTATGGTGATATCATGTCAAGATCCCATTCAAGTCTCTTCTCGTAGATAGCGAGACTGAGACTACGACCTTCTGACATGACGCATATCAATGTTCAAGGTTTGTAATGAAAAAAATAAACTTTTCTTGTCCCTATCATAGTGAAAAATGTAATACATCGAAAATGTACAGAAAATATAGTTCTCGTAATCCGTCATATCGTGGGCAGCTATTTTGATCCACCTGGACATCCCAGTATCCTAGTTACCTCGGGCATGCGCATTCGCATTTTTTCTGAGTTGGAACGTTTATACGAGAGCGAGATTGTGACGGGATCTTGGTATCATGTCACCGTAGTTACAAACCCCAAGTAATGTACCTCTGATACTATATATGTGGACACTAAACAATCATTTAGTGTTATGCATAAACTTGGCTAAAAATAAAACTGAGACAAACTATGAATACATCTATAACATCAACTTGTTGAATAGTAGACATAACATGGGAAAGTGAGAAAATGTCACTGAAAAAAAATATATATAAAAGTAGATTAATTAGTTTAAAAAGTTATTATATAGACGCGAACATTTTTTTAAGTTTGTTGTTGATACCGTATATTGATAAATACATGTACTATAATTAACATGACATGAAAAGTATTCGTTCGATTAAACAATAAAATACTCTAATACTAGTACGCACGTGCATGCCCACTCGTTATTTTTATCATGTACACCTACTGCACGTGCGTATTAGTTGTTTCGATTTGTTATCTAACCAGTACTACTGAGTGTCCTGCAAACGCAACATAATTAGTTTATGATAGGTCATAGTCCGATTTGTTTACATTACGAAGTATCGGACAACCATTTTAAAATATGTTTGTTTTCGTTCATATTGTATCTTTAAAACTTGAAACTTTAATATATAGTTGACCATAGCATGTAAATTTTCTTGCAAACATTTTTTCTTTTAGGAATTGTGTTTTAATAATTTATACATAATATATTTTGCATTTCGCTTTAATATATAGTTGACCATAGCATGTAAATTTTCTTGCAAACATTTTTTCTTTTAGGAATTGTGTTTTAATAATTTATACATAATATATTTTGCATTTCGCCCATATTTAGTAAACAAAAATAAATGTCTTTATTCCAACAATCTAATATTATTGGTCTTTATTTCGATGCTTGTTAGTATGTAAAACTAAATTAATAGCAACCAGTTTATTGAAACGAAACCAAACGTGGTAGCGAGCGCCAGCTACGTTGGGTTGTAAGCTTCTATCTCATGCCCCACTCTCCACGCACGATGGCGCTTCTTCAAATCATTAGCCTGTCTGCGCTAAGAACTCTAGAATGGAGAGTGTCTCATGCCCCTTCCCATTCTCCTTCCCAGAGTTCCTTGCGGTTAGATCAACGAAAGTATATATTCGTAGAAATAGAACTCTGCCCAGGAGATTGGTCCCTGCCTTGTCCTTCAGTGCCATTGGTTGATACAGAAGTTACCCTTTGACCCTGCACATGTGTTTAAAAATGTTTGTCGTCGAGTTTTGCTGTGAACGGTTGTTGTAGATATTCGAGGAGTGATTCAAAATGGTTATTTAAATAAGATGAATAGTGCAATAATTTGCGACCTTAAACTGTTATTTTCTAGTTCAACATTTGGCCTCTATTCTGGTATCTTCAGGTATCGAGTATGTTACTACGCAACCAAATCGCAGAAGAAGAAGAAAAAGAGACCAATGCTAAGTGAAAAACAACTGGTATGTGTTTAATGTTGGGTGTGTCATATTGACATTATATTTTATACTAATTAATGTATTGCAAAATGATCACAGACGTGTATTATTAGAAATACTAATGCAAATAAGACCGGTGTGAAGATAGTTTCTTCATGGTTACATATTCCTTATTGAACATTCGAATGTCAAATAGGTCAATATGACTATTTTGACATTCATTTTTCATTATATTTCGGATACTAATTTTCTGTCTACATTTTTGGGCTGATTTATGAATAAACATCATTTTTTTACAGTCAGCCAAGACCAAGTAGAGCTCCCACCATCCATTTGCCAATTCACATTACTGTGAGAGAGATTCAATAACAAGTTTGGCTAAATGTTTTTTTTTAACATAGAGGGGGCTCTTCCAATGGCATAGAGTGTACAAGTTTAAGAAGATGTTTGGAAACCAGCATCTCTTGCTGGTTCTGGAAAATCAAAAGCAAAAACTATAAATTATTCAACAAAGATGTATTTTCTTGCTTAAAATAAAAACAGTTATCCGCAGATTTTGGCTTTTAAGGCCGATTTCTGCAGTTTTTCAATGAACTTTAAACTCTACTGAGGGAGGTTAGACAGAATAGCATTGTCATCCAATTAGCAGAAAGGTAAATATGTACTGATTAGCTGAAACCGCTGTTCCATATCATAGTTTTTGCTTTATTTTTTGTTGAAATCGATGAGATGAGATGCTTGATAGTAATTTAGTAACTTGCTTGCATAAATTAGAAGAAGGTATTGTCCAATCACATTAATGGTGTAATATAATATGCATTAGTTATCTAGTTGACAGAATAATCTCCCATAATGAGCTTACCTACAATGAGTATAACAGCAGTTTATATTATTTCTCCTTCTTTATTGAAAATGTATATACCGGTAATGGATTTCTTTGTGACTAGGAAAGTCTTGTGTCGCTTTTTTCTTTTATAACTTAATTCTTATTAACAGTTCGAGCAATTGAAATATTTGTTTTGAGATTATCAGCTTCTGTACTAGTTACTGATTTCTTGTCAAATAAATAATGTTTTACTCCTAGTTATTATCTTGTCATTAACAGTGTGGTTGCAACAGATAAAATATCTGTGACTCTGGGCAAAACAGTGACCCCCCCAATGGATGTGACTTGATAGATTCTGAGATAACACCTTTATTATTTAGCTCTTATGATGGCAATTTATACCTAGCAGGTTTTGCAGTGATGTCCGAAGCAATAATTCAAAGAGTCTGATTGCCTATTAATAACCAGTTTGATATTTTTATTTTTGGTTGAATTCCAAAAGCAATTTGTGTTCATACTCATATTTTTGTGTGCTAATATTTTGGGTGGCTTGTGGACCTAAGCAACAATAAAGACAAATATGTAAATATATGCACATGTACAAATACTACACAATTTTCACTGGTATTCAAGTATCTTAAAATATGTTTATTATAGAAGAGTATAATTTAATTTCAGAGCAGGCATTTTATTGACTGGCGACATGTAAGTGTGTCTGGTGGCAAAGGAGGTGATGGCTGTATTTCAATGGTACACTCCAACCGATCTGACTTTGGTAGTCCTGATGGTGGCAATGGTGGCAATGGAGGCCATATTATATTCATCGGTCAGTATTTGATTGAAAAATGAGATAGGAACTTCTAGAATTTATAGCGGTATGCAACCTTCCAAATCTATGTATAGTGAAGATCCCATCTCGTATGCATGTCAGTCAAACATATTTCTAGCCATTAGCATGACAGAATGTGCTGAATGCTGGGTTTGAATACAGAAATAAGCATGTAATGTACATTTTATTAACATGACAGAATGTGGTGAATGCTGGGTTTGAATACAGAAATAAGCATGTAATGTACATATTGTTAATAAGCAATGACACTAGCAAAACATCCTGAAACGATATGGCACTTGCAAGATATTTTGACCCTATCAAGAAAATGATCATAAACTTTAGAAATAATGAAAGTATAAATAAAACACCAATTTGATGAACTGGCATTTAAAATTATTATATTCCATGATGCATTGTGCAAGTTGCTGTGAATGTTTGTGTTTTTTCTCAATTGCTTGGGGTTGCCATTTTCAGTGTACTACAGCTGAATCTCTAATGTAGACAAGACGTATGTTTTGTTTCACATAAATGGTAATATGAAATAATAACATTTTTTTGAGGAATAAATCTGTATACACAATCTCATGGGCTACAATTCCTGGCCCAACAGATCTCACAGGCTACAGTTACCGATATTAACCATCAGATCTGACAGGATACATTTCCTAGCTGAACAGATTTCACAGGGCACAGTTCTTAACCGAACAGATCTTACTGGCTACAATTCCTGGCCAAACAGGTCTCACAGGCTACATGTTCTGACCAAACAGATCTCATAAGCTATAGTTTGCAACCAATCAGATATTACTTGCTACAACTCCTGGCCAGACAAGTCTCACAGGCTATCAGTGTTTACCAATCAGATCTCACAGGCTACAGTCCTTACTCAATCACATCTCACTGGCTACAACTGCTGGCCAATCATATCTCACAAATACATCTTTTGACCAATCATGTCAGACTTGCTACAATAGCTGGCCAATGATCTTACTGGTTATAATCAATAGTCAATCCTACATACACTATGTTGCCATATAGAATATTAGTCACATTGTTCATAATGTTGTTGATAACAGTGTGATAACAATTCAATATTCTAGCTGTGAAAAAAGTGATATCTTTAGAAGCTGTGCACCATCAATATAGAGGAGAAGATGGTGTCAAAGGAGGAAAACAGAAATGTGATGGTAGAAATGCCAAGCACACAATTATAAAGGTGAAAACCATTCATTGTATATGAATAATTCTCAGCATCTCAGATATCATTATAAAGGGTTGCTACATTGGGTACTGTAAAATACTTTATTTTCGCTGAAAAGATTTTTAGTGTTTTGTATGCAATTTATTTTTCACTGATTTTTGATTGATGAGTTGAATGTTAAATATAGAAAAAAAGGTATATTCGCTGGATTTTATTTTCACTGAAACATTCCTTCAGCTAAAATGTATTCCAAGTGAAAATAAAGTATTTTACTGAAATTGAATTTATTCATTATACATTTTTATTAATTTTAACCCCTGTTTGATTATTTTTATAAAAACACATTTCAGAGCCTTAATTGCATTTTTCTTTTTGTACCAAGCAAAGATGGCTGCATAACTTTCAGCCATCAATCAAATTCTACAATTATTGGCATTAAAAATAAAAAAGATTGTTGGCATGTGTGAGATATAATATGGCTAAACATTTTAAAATAGGATTCGTAAAGCTATATTGGCCCATGTAATTACAATTGCCAGTGTTGAACTTGGTTTCTCAGTAGATGTTACTTACATAGTTTATACCTGCTCTGATTGTCAAGTGTAACTCTGGGATGCATCTTCCATGTATACTGAAGCTCAGGATACACACATATGTGAACAAAAAGTCAAGATGCAATTCAAAAGTTGAGGGGTATGCGCCAAAACACTCGCACATGGCAGTAAAGAGGGTGTGACCGAGGTTGTTATTTTGACAGCCATCAAAAACAAATTTTAATTGAATGTTTTCAAAACCTGGAAAAAGATACGAGTGATATTTCGGACAAGGTGTCTACCATAATTATTGAGCAATGAAAGCTTTATAATCAGATAGACTCAATTGAGTCAAATTTTGAATTAATTAAAAAACATCACCATGTGACACCATCTCTGACTGTGATTGAAATTTGACTAATCATTAATTATATAGGGTGACTGGTTAAAACAAAGACATTGACAGTCCCTATAAAAGCACCACAATGCTATATCTAAAAGAGGTTCGGACTGAATTTTAGATTACACATCTCATTCATGTTTTCATTATTATTGCCTAATTAAAGGAAAACAAAAAACAAAAATCTAAAAAGTCATTGATAATGGTAATAATTCATATTTCAAAATTTGTTATCTGAAAACTAATGTTGTTGAATGATTTCAAAAAATTGACATTTAAGTTTGGGAAGTTCTATCACTTATAATGCATTGCATATATGCAATAACATGCCCAATAGGGCAAAATTTGAATTCAGCTTTGACTTTGAAGTTGTACTTTTTTTCTCTGCTTCTTGATTTATAGTGAGAAGGTATTGTTACCTAATTAGGGTTCAGACAGTTACTTCGGCCTAGGGGGGTGGTGGTGCTTGTTAAAAAACTTTATTTTCATAGACAATCACAATCTACCATGAAGCAATAAAGAATTGAAACCTAGTTTAGCATTCAATCATTTCATTTTAATCAATCCTTGGAACAAAACAGTGATATTTGAATGAAATCAAATGATTCATGTGTGAAAAAAGTAGACACCCTTCCCCAAAGTAGACACTTGGTGTGACAAAGTTAAACAAAGTTGTAAGTTGCCATACAGGAGTCCCCAGTGTTTATTGATACACCACATACTGCTTATGACTTTATACTGGGAGTATTAAGATAACCCTAGGTATCGCCATTCAAATAAAGCTTGCCATAGTATGCAGTTCAGAATTCATCAATTTGCCTCAGAAAACTTTAAGAAAATTATTATTACCCAGTACAAACTTAAGTTTGTGAAGAACCATTTTATGAGTTACTCCTCAGGCAAGGTGCTTGCTAGAAATCAATTAATTAATTTTTAGCTCCGCTGTCGACTTTGTCGAGCGGAGCTTATCATATGAGTGATTGTCCGTCGTCGTCGTCGTCCGTCGTCATCGTCCGTTGTCCGTGTCAATGTTTTACTTTTTCGACTTCTTCTTGAAAACTACAAGCCTGAATGCTTTGATACTTGGTGTATATGTACCTTGGGTAGACCTCTCTCAGATTTGTTCATTTCATGATGATATCTTCAATTCTCTAATTTTGGTGAATATTTTTGTCATTTTTAGTAAAAAGTGATATTTTCGACTTCTTGTTGAAAACCGCAAGTCCAATTGCTTTGATATTACATATATAGGTACTACATGTGGACCTCTCTCAGATTTGTTCATTTTGTAATGATATCTTTAATTCTCTAATTTCGGTGAATATTTTTGTAATTTTTGGTAAAAAGTGATATTTTCGACTTCTTGTTGAAAACCGCAAGTCCAATTGCTTTGATATTACATATATAGGTACTACATGTGGACCTCTCTCAGATTTGTTCATTTCATAATGATATCTTCAATTCTCTAATTTTGATGAATATTTTTGTAATTTTTGGTAAAAAGTGATATTTTCGACGACTTGTTGAAAACCGCAAGTCCAATTGCTTTGATATATTATACATATAGGTACTACATGTGGACCTCTCTCAGATTTGTTCATTTTCTAATGATATCTTCTGTTCTTTAATTGCCATGTGCATTGCTAACAGCGGAGCTATCTCAGCCGACAGGCTGCTTGTTTTATTTTATTTTTCATTGTTTGTTTATTTATTTTTTAACAGGTTCGGTACTCACTAAAACAAGGAGCTGCAAATTGAAAAACAATTCATAACATAAAATAAAATTCTAATCTCTTGCTGATTTCCTTAACTTAAATGAGTTTTTGACAGTTTCATCAATTTTGTTTTACGCAGTTATCATTTGTGCTTTCACTCAAAAAAACCCGAAATATTTCTTTTCCCAGTTCAAATTCAATCTTTGTTGTATATAGGGTAACTGCCTCCTTCATAGAGTCCCTCTGAAGTTTTAAACATTCACATTCAAGTAAAAAATGCCCCAGCATTTTAATCATTACAACATGGGTATCTGAAATCTTCCAGTCTTTTCTTTAACTGCTAGATCATAAAATAAATCACTGTGTGCAAGTTTGAAATCATAAACATGTGGCTGGATTGGTCAGACATACTCTTGAGACAATCTTGATCATATTTTACCTGAATTACTAGTCTCTTTCTAATGCAGGTTCCTGTTGGCACGGTGATAAGGGAAGATGGAGAATTATTAACTGATTTAGAAAAGGAAGGTGAACAGGTACTTAGTAGTTACTTTTAATATTCAATATATTTTAATTGTACTGCTATAACATAAACATATTTTGAATCTACGTGTACTATTTTTATAATTGATATATAAATCTGACACACTATTTTTTTATATTAAATAAGGCCTTGTATTACTGTTTCTGAGAGTTCATAAAATGATGAAGTCAAGCCTGTTTTTCATTTTTACACAATCAAAATGCTGTAAAGTCAGAAAAAAAAATTTCACCAATGTGTTACATTTGATGATAGCATATGATTGATTGATATAAACATATCTGTTTATGCAATTCTTCATTATTTTATCTATCTGAATCATTCATCTCTCAGTTTATAGCTGCCAGGGGAGGCATGGGTGGTAAAGGAAATTCTTTCTTTGTGTCAAATGAGAATAAATCACCAATGGTAGCATCACGAGGATCTACTGGTATGAAAAGAACTTTAGAATTGGAGTTGAGAATGATTGCCCATGCTGGGCTGGTAAGTAAGATATTCAGACTTCCAGTATCTATTGAGAAGGGGGATTAGATCAACCATGCATTCGTACCAACCCATCTGTCTTGTAACAGTAAAGTATATAATGCGAGATGCATTATTTTTTCACTGGGATACGGAGTATGTTTTGTTGTTTTTGTATTTAATTTGTTTCTTGGCTTAATAACACCCATTTTCGATGCATTTTTTTTTTATTCATATAATATTGAAAAAAAAATATATTACCGCAAAATACTTTTACATGTCAAAAAGATATAAAAAAAGAAAATTAACAGCAATTTTGTTTTGGCAAAAGTTGTATTGTATTTTTGTTTAAACTGACTTTTTAATTTTTTTGTTATTGCTGTTTAGTACTATTAACAAAGTTTCTATTACCGGTATATATTCATTTATCTTTTTATATTCCTATTTCAGTTTGTTTTTTCTTTTTCATAAATGTAGTGTTTGTTCTTATTCCAAGTCTAGTCAAACCTTGTACTGTATTGTCATTTATTTCCCCCCATTCGTTCCCGCAAGTGTCCGGACAGTCTCGTGCGTGCCCGCATGGTAGTTCGACCCGTATCATTTGTTTTCTATTATTCACTAGATTACCGGTACATTCCAGTGTTTTAGTGACAGAGTATTAAAACTGTTGTTATGATAGTGAAATTCTGAATTTAGAATTCAGTGAAATGATATGTACAGCATAAGTATATTGTATATCTAATATTCTGTTTGTTATTTTTATTTCAACAGATAGGATTTCCTAATGCTGGTAAATCTTCTTTACTGAGAGCTCTGTCGCATGCCAGACCAGCAGTAGCTGCTTACCCATTTACCACATTAAATCCACATGTTGGTATAGTAGAGTATGACGATCTAGAACAGATTGCAGGTAAGGCCAGACTTTTTTCATTCCTGGTTTCTCGAGTTTTTATAAGGCATTTTTTTTAAGGAGGACAAAAATAAAATAAAATAAATTCTTTTTTTCCATTAGATTTGTGTGATTCTCAAAGAATTGAAAGTGAGATCATTGGTCAGAGAGAAGAAATGAAATAAAATTTTATTCCATGTATAACCTTGTTTCTCATCTGCGCAAGACTTCGGTACTTTAATCATGATACTCCCACGAAAATGCAACTTGGGTTTGTTATGCAGCGGGTGGAAAAAAATGAAGATAAAAATAATTTGTTTTAGCAATTTTTTGCACTTACAATCGGCGGGCGCGAGAAATTACGCTGAAATAAAATTTTATTTTTATTTCATTTCCGGCTCCTGTTCATTCGGCGGGTTCGCGAAACAAGGGATAATAAAAGTCTGGCCTAATAACTATTAAAGACGTATCATTTTTTAAAACATTTCTGGGCATTGAGGTCACCATCGTCCGCCTGCACGGTGTTGTTCCGTTCGGACATTCCTCCCTCTACAACACTGTGCGGTAATACCATTCATAATCGTGTATGTCACGTAGTTGCGCGATAGAAAGTTTACCAACCAATAGAAAGCTTTGTTACAAAGACTGCCAGAAAACGCTCGGAGCTCTGCATTTCTTATATTTTCATTACTGCCGATATGTGTTGCAGTGATATCACGAGCTTTGGGGTATAACACCTACCTCTTCTATAATCGTCAACAGTAGTGACAACACTATTACCACTATTATTAAGTAAAGCTTGAATAGCTTTGGTCTGAATATCAGTGAGTTGCATGATGTATGG